AAAAAATTAAGGACTCTTATACTAATTATGTTGTTTAAACTTGCTTCAATTATGATAACCGAGGTAATGTACACGTCTTGTTTAAATTAATATGATAATATAAGTGTACATGAACTGTATTATAAATTATTCATTTATTTGTTTAGAAGTTTTATTAGTGTGGAAACTTTATGATAAGATTGGTGTGGAATTTTCATAAATGCAATTCTAATGTGGTCCTAAAATATTTGATTTTCTGATACAATTTATATCAATTGTTGGATTGACTCATGTTAACATCCGGATCGGTAAACATGCATTATGGAATTCTGGACAACACATTAGAAGGAAGATGATCGTTGAACCGACGTTGTTACATACACCACCCCGGTTCAGGCGACAGACCGGACCGAACTACCGAAGACCGAAGTGGTCAACATCCACCGAGGTCAACATGAACCGAGGTCGCCACCTCCCCAAGCAGGTGACAAGGCGCCTACGTCTAGCCCTCCAGCTCCACAAGATCCGTCATCATTTATGTGGGACCCTCCGCCTCGAACCGCCCACAAAAAGTAGCTTTATTCGAAAAAGTCATGCACAGATCCCAATGTATTAACCCGAAACTACTATAAATAGCGGACCTATGACAATTGTAAGGGGAGGGGACTTTCTCTGAATTCTCCGAACTGTAAACACTTTACTAAGCAACACGTAAAAGCCCATCACGGCTCTTCACCTCGGTTCACCTCGGACCGGGGCCATTGTTGATTCAATCTTACATGCTTTACGTCCAAATCATTCCAAATTACCCACTTAATCATAAATTACATCGTTGTTAAGAATCATATAACAACAACTCAAATATCAATTTTTTAATTAATTTGTTTTAAAATTCGATTATTATGACTCTTACCCTTATTTTTGAAAATTTGAAAATTTGAAAAGCCTTATCTTTAGGTTTTATTATGGTTCTTATCCATTGTTTTAAATAGTCTAAACATAGAAAGTCAACTGATTTATTTATTTGGTCAAAGTTTCTAAAAATGAATTTAACAACAACCTTTTTATATAGATATATATAGATATAGATTATTTATTTATTTTTCTTCTGTTAAAAATGCGATAAAACGCGGAAAGCTCATAGCACGTGGATATAATGAATGCGCTTTTACCTCTTTCGCCCAACTTGCCTTCACATTACTTCCGTGATTTTTGGCCTTCCGTAAATTAAAGTTTAAATGTTGAATTAATAAAAAATTTTGTGGCGACTAATAGTTAGAAAGGACGAAAATTGTACTATTTTTATCAAACAAATGTATAGTATTGTAAATTTCTATATCTTATTTAAATTGCTTTTGAAGTATATTATTTCAATTTAAATGATTGCATATTGATTCAAAAAGAACATGCATCTCTAATCAACATTCTCCGTAAAATTAGTTTTAGGTTATGTTTGATAAATTAGGTGATAAGTTAGCTGATAGTGAGCTTATAGTTTATCGGTAATTTTCGAGTATTAAATATATATTTGTATTTTTAGTTGTTAAAATTGTAATAGCACTTTTACATTCTTACAGCACTTTTAGTTATATTAGCCTTAGTATAAATAGCATATTAGGGTTTAGACTACTTCACTTTTTCTTTTCCTCTTCAGACGATCTGTTCTCTCTCTCTCTAAACTTTCCTATTTGTAATCTTTCACCTTGATTCAGTTCATCAATGGAGTTTTACTTTTAGTTTTTTATACATTTTATATCATAATATGGTATCAGTTTTCAGGTTCTTCGATCGATTCTGTTTTTCCGCTGCTTTTTACTGATTTTTGGTTCAATTTCTCGAACCCTACCTTGCTGTTCCTCTATTTCTCGGCTCAAAAGCTAGCTTATATGGTAAAAGAGTTTGATAAAATTGACTGATAAGATAGAAAAAATAAAAAATTTTAACGAACTTATTTGAAAAGCTACTCAAACGAGATAAAGGTCGATTTTTTATATTTTTCTACCTTCTGGGATATTTATCAAAAAAAAAAAAAAGCTAATAATTTAATGAGAAAATTCAATTTCCTTTGTCCTTGAAATGCTAAATACTAATAAATAGAGTTTGTGACAGCAATTGGTGAGAGGCCGCGGTTGAATGAATGAATGCTCACAGACTGCACATGTATGCATGTATGTTTACCACATCAATTTTTGACCTGTCATTAAAATTGCACCTTATTTGGCTTGTTCTTTTTTTTTTTTTTTTTTTTTTTTTTTTTTTTTTTTTTTTTTCTAGATGACAGTTGTCCACTGACACCACTAACTAAATGATCTTCCTTTAATGCTCCTTTATAGTTTTTTCCATTCACCATATTCTAGGGATACAGTCGAGTCAAGCATGGCCTTATCGAACAGAATTGACTTTTTTTTAGTTGCTCGAGCTCCAGCTAGACTCGATAAAAAATTACAACAGCTCGAGCTCGGCTCGAAAATTTTTAAGTAGAAAGGTTAAGGACATATGCTAATATATATGTAAGGGTTATTTTAATAATTTAACATGTATTTCGAGCCGCTGGACAAGGTAAAATATGAGCTCGAGCTCGACTCGAATTCGGTCAAACTCGAGCTCGAGTTGAGTTTGACTGAGCGCTCGCGAGCTGCGCGGTTCATTTGCAGTCCTGCCATATTTTATCCTCAATTCAATAATTTTCCAAACTTAACCACCAAGCAAGGACTATACATTTTAATATATGGTTGAAAGTTTATAATATTTCGAAGGTATAAATAGTTTAATGAGTCTAGTTTGGAAATTATATATGTTAATTACCATTATCTACCTATTGGTGCATCATGCTGTAGCAAGTTGCTTGAGAAAGAGAAATGGTGGACTCTCAAGAATCAAGATAAATCAATTTACCACTTGTTAATGTAAAACTTCAAAGCTTCAATAGTGTTTTACTTGGTACAATAAATTGTGTTGGTGAAAAATAATCAAATATTGAATAAAATTTAATTTTGTGTTAACTAAAAGGGAAGAACTAAAATATTTATTCAAACTCAACTGATAAATCAACTAATAAAACATGGCTTTTGAAATGTAATAATAAATCAACTAATAAAACACGGCTTTTGAAATGTAATAAAAATTCAGTAACTTTTTTTTTGGTAGTCAGCCACGGTATCTGGAGGTATGCCCGACTAATTGTTGGTCGACGCGGGTCGCACACCTGGTTGTGGTGGTAAGTCTCCCAATAAGAGATTTTTGCATACACAATGACTCGAACCGAAATAAGCGCATATAACTTTGAACAATAAGATAAAAATAGACTGCACCCAATTATTTTACAATATTACACAAATAATTATGTAAAATATTTGAGAGTCTTTACAAAGTGAACACAATTCTTGCTTGTACAGTTGTACTGCAAATACTAATCTGAAAGATCTAAAATTGATACAGCAACTGAAATAATCAAACAAAAAAGAAGAGTCTCTATTACAACTGTGCTATGAACAAATTATACTCACTAACAAATCAATAAATAAAAAACAATGTAACATCTCTTATTTTTTCAGAATTTGTATGTTCAACAATCACTATAAACTGTAGAATCAATGGGAAATGAACATATATGCTTCATAACCATAGAATTGATCAAATCCAAATTGCTATTGCCTCTCCTAATCATGCCACAATTCTTCGAGAACAAATGAGAACCCGGTTTCGTACCCGACCCAGCGAGTGCACTCACCTCGGGCAATGACTCGGCTGACACGATCAAATTCACGTCCTTGAGCACGTGTTCATTTCCAACGAGATGGTTGAAAATACCCGACTCGGTTACTGAGTTCTTCTTCTTTCTATGTTGTATGGAAAATCTCACGATATCCGTCAACATTGCGTTTGAAAACCTACGAACACCTCTCAACCCGCCCATCACAACTCCCGGGTCGACCGAGTTCTTCCGAGTCGATTCGCTCTTCTCCGAGTTCCTCCTTCCGTGCTTACCCGAACTCGATTGGGCAGCAAGCCCTCTAATGAAAACCGACTCGGGGCTATGATTCCTGACTCGGCCGATCGGGTCACCGAGTAGCAACACGTCCTTTATGTCAACCAGCATCACATGCTTGAAATTCCTCCTGACCCGACCCAACAGCATCAGGTAGCAAGCCCACCGCCGCAGGCCCATCGGGACGTGGTCGAGAAACCCGGATAGCGCGTTCTCCGGGTCGAGCTCGTCGGCGTCGAAGCCCACCACCGAGCCGTAACTCAACCCGTCCGACTCGCTGGAATTGCCTCGATTCCTCCTCCCCCAAATTGGCTCTCCACTTTCTGTCCCCTTCTTACCGGGTTTCGAGAAATGGGTCGGGTCGAAACCGGCCGGGAGGGAAGTGAGATTGCCGTCCGACCGGTACCGATTCAGGAGCTCGCCGAACGAGTCGTGCTCCCGGACGATCAACCGGTTGAACCGGGAGGCGGCTCCGGGCGGGAAAACCAGAGCAAGGTCGGCTCTTGCGGCGAGTCCTGACCGGAAAAACAACCGGAGGAACAAACGGAGGTCGGTCGGGGAAAGGGACTCAGCGGCGTGGGCAACTACT